ATTTTTTGCTTCGCAATATGAGTTTTGATTATTGTATTTTATAATTTTACTATGCTAGGACGTTTCTTATGTATATAAATGAGATAGTTGAAAACTTGATAGTTGATCTTGATAAGATATCTTTAAGTTATTAGAAATTTGTAAGAAATTTGTAATGAGGCTAGTTATATGAATATTGTCAAATATTGTATTTGAAATATGGAAAAACACTAGTTGATGGGCTTATGATAGTAAATGATGTTAGAAACACTTTTGATATAATTAGGTATATGATAGATCATGGTGTAGTTGATGTATATATAGTATATGGCACTAATAAAGTTGTTTTAGCTCATAAGTTGTTAACAAGACTTGAAGTGAAAAATGTAGCTAAGATAGTAAGGAATGAAAGGTAGAAAATTAAGATGCAATCGAGGCAATAGGGAATGAAAGGATAAGAAATGAATATGTAACTGAAGCAGTAAAGGTGGGAAATAAAGATGTTGGTGAAACAGCAATGGTAGGAAATGAAGATGTATTTGAGGTTGCAAGGGTAAAAAATGAAGATGTATTTGGAGTAAAAGTTAAAGATGCAAGTGATAGAAATAGCAGTGAAAGGGAATATCATACTTACTCTATATAAATTCAGTATTTGAGTGGTAATGATAATGAAAAAATAGTTACTACTAAATCTAAACTGAAAGCTATGTTAGAAAAAAAGTAAAGGTAGGAAAAATAAAGTGAATGAGGGAGTACAAATTAATGTGAATATGATTAAGGATGGAGTTGATAATAACAAAAGAATGGAACCAGATGTAATCTCACTAGTGAAAGGCAATACTGGTAATGTTGATAATGATATCAGAGTGAGTACTAGGACTCTGATAAGTTTGATGAGCTTATTAGTGATGAGTAAAAAATGGTTTATGATGTTATTAGGATGAGAAGTAAGTTTTTAGTGTATGATTCCAATGCAAATACCCCTTACATTAAGTTAGTCATATTGTTTAAGAATTCAAAACAATTTAAACATGTTGTTTCATTACTTTCTTTTAGGACAAATAGGGATATCATTTAGGCTAAAAATCATAAAAGTTTTAATAGAGGTAAATGTGTTGCAAATAATATCTTTGGGTAATCTATGCTGTTTATGACAAAAAATTATAGTCATTTCAAGTGAAGACTTACAATAACACTCATGAATGTAACAAAATTTTTAAAAACCCAAGGATGAGTCAAGCTGTTTTGGTGTACACAAATAGATTTATGAAAGATCCTTTTATTAAGAATGCAAAAATACAAGAGTTAATTATGAAAGAATTTGATACAGGAGAGAATATTAGCATGATAAGAAATGTTAAAAAAGAGGTGACTGATAAAGCGATTAGCAATTATAAGGATGAGTTTGCACTTTTGTGAAATTATGCTAATGTAATCAGGAAAACTAATAAAGGTAGCACAGTGAAAATGCAAGTTAATAGGCCATTTGCCAACCTCTCTGCTTATATTTCAAAGGTATTATATATACATTTCTAGGCACTTAAAAAAGGTTGGAGAATGGTTGTAGGCTTTTTTTGGAACTAGATGACTATTGGCTGAAAAGCTTGACAAAATGTGAGTTGCTATGTTCTATTGATAGAAATGGAAACAATCAAATGTTTTCAGTGGCTTAGGCATTGGTGAAAATAGAATGCACTGCTTCATGGTAATGATTTTTTAAGCTATTAAGATTAGACATCATGTTTTTGAAAAATGAAATAGGCTAGACAATCATAACAGATCAACAAAAGATAAATATTTAAATATTAATTTAAATTAAATTATATAATTAAATTATGTACTATATAGTTAAACTTATTACTAATTAGTTTCATATCACTTGTAGGGCCTTGATAATAGAATTATAGAGTTGTTCCTAAACACTGAGCACAGATTTTGTGCTAGGTATATACATGTGAGTTAGGCTAAAAAGAGACATAAGGTGAGGTAACAAAATGGGCTTTTTGGATAATTGCTAAGTCTTCAACAATTAGAAAATTTAAAAAAATATATAAGAAAATTATAGGAAAAGGATGACATTGTTGCTGCTGACATAATAAAAGTCTCATTTTAACAATGGTGCAAAACATTTTTCAACGCAAATTCTATATATGAATTGGTTAACAACAACTTATGTAAAGCATTTAATGGGATATTGCTAGATGTAAGAAAAAAATCAGTGATTTCTTTAGTTAAAGACATAAGAAGAAATATGATCGTAAGAATTAGGAAAAAAATAAAAGAATATTATAGGTGGAGTGGTATGATTAGTCCTAACATCGTCAAAGTCATAGAAAAAAAATACATTTATAGCATTACAATGTGTAGTTGCATTTAAGGGTGATAATGGATATGAAAAAGATTTGGATTTAGATAGGTTCATTATCTAGCTTAATGAAAAGACATGTAATTGTAAAATGTACCAGCTTTCTGATATCCCATGTGCACATGTTTTATGTGCAATTAAAGATCTAGATGAAAATGTTAAAGAATTTGTGTATAGTTGGTGTCATAAGAAAGTCTATCTACAGATACAACCCATGCTTAAGAGAAAGGATTAGGCCAAACCAAAGATAAAAGAAAAAGTTTTACCCTCAAAGTTTAGAAAGATGTCGGGCAGGCCCAAAACCAATAGAAAAAAAGATCATGGTGAGTCTAATAAGAATAAGTCCAACAATATAAATCTATCGAGAAAGAGTATGATAATGACATGTAAATTATGTCATCAACCAAGTCACAACAAAAGAGGCTATAGATTGTCATGTAAACTATGATAGCAAGATTCTCATGTGTTCAAATTTGGAGACCAGAACATGGACCAAGACGCATCAAGTACAAGAAATACAACTGTAGATTTTATTGAAGTTGCAAATAGTCCAAGCAATTATACTACTGCTTCTGCTACTATTTATGATGCTTCTGCCACTACTTATGGTGCTTCTACTTCAACTTTTACTTTTACATTTAGATTTGGTTTGGCATTTGCATTTACTTAAGTTAATATCTTTAGTTTTGCATCTACAATTGTAATTGCAACTGCATCTGCATATGTTACAAATCTAGTCAATATTATTGTTGTTGTTGTTGCTCAAAATGCAAAACTTAAGTCCAAACGGCCAATAACATCTAGTGGAAGATGTTTTACAAATAAGAATGGGAGACTTTATGGGATGATTGTGGAAAAACAAGTCATTTGTCAAAGATCCAAGTCTTCTACAACAACCACTGGAAAAAGAGTAATTTCAGCAAACAATAATGGAAGTCGCAATGACAAGAACACTCTAGAAGCTGCAACAAAAAGCAAGACAAAAGGCATGCAAGGTTATGAATTATATACAAACTTAGAAATAAAGATACAAATCTTAAATGTGAGTGACGTTAGATCAAACATCTATTTATGATTTTTTTATAAAATATTACCCATTCTAACTTGATAAATGTAAATCAACAGCTTGAATTGCCAAGTCAAAAAGTAATAACAGTTACAAGAGGCAAGTTGTTGAAGATGTAACTGTTACTCAAGAAAGTCAAGTTGTAACTTTAAAAAAAAACAAAAGGAAACAAAAAATCTAACCAACACTTCCGTTGATTGTTCCTATTGGAATAATTTAGTTTTTATGTTAACTACTTTTATGTTACTGTTTTAAGAACAATTTCAATTCAAACTTTGTTTTTTTAGGTGTTAATTTTTTAGATCTTCAACTAACTTTAATTTAAGTATTTGAGACTTTAACTATTTTTTAAGGGATTTATTTAGGATTATCACTAATGTTTATTGAGTTTAATTTAAATTTTTAAGCCATAAATTAAGGAATTTTGATAAAGATGTTTCTTAAAATATAGTAGGAATTATTGTAACAAGTTGTTATGTTGACCTCTCAGCCACACTTTTTTTTCTTTTTTACATGTCAATTTTAACATTATTTGATTAATAACCAATGCTATATTTTATTATTTCTATTGTATATGCATGTACTTTGTTTTGTATATTTATATTTTTTTATATTTTATTTGTATATTATTTATATTATTGTATATGCATATTCTTTGCTATATATATTCTCATTTATATTTTATTTATATATTATTTATATTTATTGATTGATATATTTTGTTTCGAAAGCATGCAAAATTTTCATTTCTCGCAATGAAGCATAGGCTTTCATTAGTATATATAATAGAGTTAGCATTTAATATACTATTAGTATAAATTTTTAATTTTACAAGTGAAATTAAAATATTAATACATGTTTCATTTTTTTAATTTTTTAAATATAATTTAATATATTGTTAGTATAAATTTTTTAATTTTACAAACGAGAATTAGAGATTGACACAAGTTTTATTTATTTTTTTAATTAAATTTTTATAGTTCGAGAAGAAGTCTAAAATGTAAGAGTGATGTCGCAATTGAAAAACACTTTTTTTTTATTATTTAAACTATTAAGGTATGATTCTTAATCACTAAAACTTAAAGTTCAATACCTTAAACCTAAAATGAAATAATGATGTTGAAATTTAAGACCTAATTTAGCATTGCCTTTAAAAATTACTTTTGCATTTAAAAAGTACTTTAAACCCAATCTCAATACTAAATAATAAAAAAATATTGCTTTTCAGTCTAAAAACCTAGTTTGCAAATCCAAACCAAAATACTCCTCAAGAAATACTCGTCATGAAAAAAATACTTTTAAGATAAAAAATCACTATATTTTCCCAATATTTTAATATTTTATTATTTTATGCATATCTTTTTAAATATTTTAATTACTTGTAATAATTTTTCACATTAATACTAAACATTTAAAATTTTTAACTACATTTTTTTTATTATATTTTAAGCAAACTTTTTTCAACCGAACAGTAATGCTAAATTGGCCGTAAGACACGCATAATTAGTTTTACATTTTCCGTTATTGCTAATCGAATGATAAGCTAGCAAATTTTTGTGAAAGAAAAAGCTTGGATAAGGGCTCCAATAACTATTATGAGAACTCCATCTCTTTTGAATCACAATCAATATTGTACATGGGATGAGGAGATTTGAACCCAACTCATTGGGGTAAGGGATATATACATCAACTATTGACTTGCATACACGCCTAATTAACCATGAGTGTTGGGTTTACTGCTTTGAATTGAACCTTCAACCTTCTGGCTTGTTGGAATTTCATATGCATCACTTACAAGAATAAGTTTATCACCATCCCTAATAAGCTCTATATCATCAATTTCAGCTCCGTCATCTGTCATAACTCTAGTAGGAGAGAAGCTAAATCTTTGGGCACCAATATCCAAAAGTTCTTGAAAGGACTTTGGCAAAAGAATGAGCTTACCGGGAACTTGACTTCTTTCGGGGCAACGGATCGTGACTCTGACCGAACAGTTGCCTAAAGCTGAAAAACCTGGAACGCCTGCAGCTGAAGGACTTTCACCTGCATAGTTAAACTTCAGTTTTAACAATTTATCCCACCATAAATAGATAGTAATTAAACTGCTAAAACTTTTGCCAAGTTGGTCCTCAATCTAATAACTTTGCTTCCCAATAGAAGTATATTAACTAGATTCAACATCACGGGAAACAGAGAAGCAGGCTCACCGGTATTGGCAGCTGATATAATACCAAATAGTGAATTATGAAAAGTATTTGCCTTTCGCCTTGGACGGTTGTTCATCCATGTCAAATCAGGAGCTGGTGGCACAACTTCAGAAGTATATGGAGTTATTGTGGGCTCGCTCCTGTACTTGGCAATGGCCTTCGCATGTGCTACTTGCTTCTTTGGAATTTTGACAAGTGATAATTTCTTGACCTCTATCTGGTTTTCGAATAATGCTAGTATCTCTTCATGGCCCTGATGATCTGCCATAGCCCTTGCTGTCCATCCATCGGAATCTTTTGCATCAATATCCGCTCCCTGCTGTAACAAGAACCTAACCATTTCAACATTTCCTTCACAGGTTGCAGCGTGGATCGCTGTTGTTCCATTGCTCTTGGGCTGTGTTACATCCCCTCCATATTTCACAATGTCCTTGAGTAAATCTAAATTGTTTTGTTCAACAGCAGAGCAAGCAAACTGACCCACATCACCATAAGATAACGTTGCACCATTTTCTACCAGAAGTTTAATCACTGATTCATGCTTCCCCATTATTGCATCCCATAAAGGAACACTTCCTTCAGGATCTGCATGGAACAAGTAATTCTAGTATAAGCAGGAAAAAATGAAGAGATAGATGGAATGGAAGAAACAAGTTGTCTTCTACAATGTAATTAATTTCATAATATGCCTTACCCTTCAGAGGAACTGAACATTATGAAAGCGAAACAACAGACATAAAAAGGAAAAAAAAAAAAAAAACAAAGAATCCAGTATCTTCTTCAAAGGCATTCTCTTGGTACATACATGTTAATAATTTCTTATTATTCAAGCAAGAGCATTCTCATTGAAAAGAAGGAGAATTATGTTGTCCGTGGAAAGTAAAAAGTTGAATCTAGTTCTCCTAATTTCAAAAGTATAATTCGGTATAAAATTGACTGCCCTGTAAAGAAAATAAGGTGCATATATAGATTAATCAACAAGAAGTGAAGGAGAAACTAAGAAACAAAAAGAAGATCAGGGAATAGATGATACCTCTGATGTTAGGATCTACTCCATACTCTAGAAGCAGACTTACACAATGGTCACTTCCATTTGATGCAGCAATATGCTGTTCGCCCAGAACGTAAAAGAACATATAAAACATAACCATGTTTGTATAACCAACACACATATAAAAGTACAGACATGTTTGTAAAGAAATGGGAGGCATGCATACCAACGCTGTTCGCCCACTATTGTCCTGCTCATTTGGATCTGAGCCACGTCTCAGCAACTGCTGCAGCAATAAATCATCTCCTCTGGCTGCTGCAAAACATAAACTAAGAGGCAAATCCATTCTGCCCCTTGCTAGCATGTGTTCTGTTTCATGCAATATTTCTTCCATCAGCGGATCATTGGACTCCTTCAGATGCTGCATCACCAAGATTACGTAAATGCAGTTAGTAGATTTTTCCCACAAAAATTTCTTTTATCCATAAATCTTATCTTTCTCATTCATAAGATCTGTTTAATAATTTAGATTGTTCGCTTTAAGCAAAATCTTGAAGAAGATAATCATAATAACAGTATTAAATGAGGCTAGCATGACACACCCCTATCACCAAAAGAACTATAATTCTCACATGAACGTTTAGAACTTGTCCAATTACATTTGAACGATAGACAACATAATACAAGCATCAACCTAACTCAGACTATACCAATAGTATATGACAAAAACTTGTTTTCCTCAGAAACAAAAGTTTCTTGTATGCTTTATTGAAAATTTCCATTTACAATCAGTTATTATATTTGTAGATATATAAACAGGTGAACATGTCTATGCTCAAGGAAACTTGATGTATGTCTGAACTCCAAATCACATCCTTTGATAAAACTTTTAGCAGTTATAACAAATGCAGAAAGACATTCAAATGCGAACTATCACTTAATAACTTTGATACAAAGTCTGTTTTAGCACTATATGGTCATTGGTAATGAAGATATAAGACATTATTTGTTCTTACTTCTGAGTCCTGACCATATAAAAGTTTGGCTGCACCAATATTATCCATAAAAGTAAAGAACTGCAATATTATACCACTCGAGCCCATCAATATGACGTTTTTCAAATAGCAATCTGAATATTCTGACGTACAATGAAGATTTAACATATACTAGTACTCCTGGTCTTGTGCTAAAGAGATAGGGATCTTCTGACAATAAATGTATCTACAATTAGCAAGCTAGAATCATCAAAGAAATAGCCTGAGCGAAAAAACCTGAAGAAGATTGTTCATGATTATTGTTCCATCTCCAACATTTGCCTGAACAATATTTAAAAATTCATTGCGGTTCAAACGAAGCAGCTGACTCAATCGTTTGGTCCGAACTGTAAACAATTGTGGTCTGTAACAGAGCACTCCTATCTCACCAACAACATCTCCAGTGGTTCTTTCGTCAATAACCTGCAATGATTCATTGCAACATGGAATAAGTTAATAAGAAGCAAGCTCTTTTATTTCCTCGCAATTCAACTAATGTTATTTGATGCAAAAATGGTCTGTATGGTAAACTTGCCTGTTCTGCTCCATTTCTTTGCACAATGAGATCCTGTCAAGTAAGCCTATATGTTAGAAGCTAGATTTTGCCCAATGAAAATGAAATCTTTTGACTTCCAAGTGGCAGAGGTCAACCAACAAGGAGTTTATTAGGCTATCCAAGGTTCTTATTATCATCTTTTAACCTTTGTTCTGGGAACAGATTCAAGGAATGACTCTCACCTTCACCATTTCTCTTTAAGAAACAAAAATTGGGGGGGGGGGGGAGTTTCTTTATAGTCCATCCTATCCCTATTTATATTGACACTGGACAGACACTAATTACTTGCATTCAGATTCCATTTACACAAACAAGCAAAAGATGAAGGGGGAAGGGGGAGTTCTTACCACAGCACCAGTTACCAATATGTACATTTCTGTAGGCCCTTCATTCTGTAAAATCACATCTTCATTGGGAGGATAATACTCAGCGTTCATCTCCGAGACCTTCAAAATATAGCAGTTCAAGACAAGTTAAATAAACTCACTTTACTAACACAGAATTTATTGGTAGTTTGGGTACATAGTATTTTAATTTTTGTTTCCTTATGTTACCGTGACTTAATCCTTCTTAAAGTGAGGATATAACAAATAATACCTTTTTTCTTATTCATGGCAAAACGATAGGTCTTTTGACATTTTATCAAACACTAAAAACAAAGATAGAGCAGTACTGATAGTAGCTTTACCAGTTGAAAAAGTAAGTCGTTTGATACCCCACGGAACAAGTACACTTGATCAACCACTGAATAGAACAGAAAATGTGCAATGCTTGATCTAATAGCTTTAGGAAGGGCATTAATAATCTCTTGCTGCTGCACTCCTTCTGAATCAGTTCGGTACCTCAAAGACAAATGAGCAAGCATCTGATCTTGCAGGCGAACTGGGAGTTGATTCCTATGGGCAAAATTTGAGGCAGCTTGGATGTTTTCTCTCTGGAAAGGGCCAAAAAATGATATACTCAAAATCATTGATCCATTGAGACAAAAGACACATGCAGAAATACCCATGACGCATTAATTAATCATATTGCTTATAGAAGCTTTAGAACTTAAGAACAATGCTTGGGATGTTCTAAAATTCTAGAGCAACTTATCTTGTCTACCAAAATTGCCACTCAACAGAGTGCAATTGTAATACAATGCAGAATAGTTGGGGGTAAAGTTAAACTTTTTCAAGGTAGTCCAATCAAGACCTTTAAGTAAATACAGCTAACCAGCGGTTTCCACCCTGGAAGGACTGAAAGAAGCTTAAATCTATTCCGCCTAAGCAAAAGCCGTTCTGAATAATTTCATATACATAAAGTTGTAAATCTGAAATGAGACTCCATTTGTAAATATATGTCAGAGATAACTGAATTGAGTGCTTGGAGAAAGTAAAATGGTCCTAGCTTGAAACATTATTTAGAAAGAAAGTGCCTCCTCACAGTTGAAAATGATCATTCAAACAATGGAGATATCCAAGCTGAAAGATCCACTAGAAGTGTTAAGAAGAAATATAGCAGAATTGGCATAAACGATTTTTAGAATTTACTCACAAATTCTCTAGTTCGACTTGCTCCATGGACAATCAAGTTAGTCATATTTCCAACCAAGTACGCTTGCAGTCCAAGATTAAAGAGTATGTAGAATATGTCAAACGTCATCTCCGAAGCATTCATTGGATGCAGATCACCATAACCAGTGGTTGTAAGGGTGACTATGGACCAGTAAATTGATGTCACATACCGGTCCGATATCGACAGTTGCTGCCAGTCCTCTGTATAAAGATACAGCCATACCCTTTCCGGATTATGATAATGAACAGCTATATAGTAGAAGATACAACCAGCAAAATGAGCAGCAAAGAGGGTAACCTGCATTGGACATCAGGAGCCTTGTGACAAAGATCCTATATTGAAGAATGAAGAGTCTCAACTCTTACAAATATTACAATGTTTCTCTTTTCTAAGAAATACTCACACAGATGAGCTTGAGGCATCGAACCCAAAAATAGCTATAGTTCTTATCTTTCTCCAACCTAAACAAAGGAATAAGGTTGTTGATGTTAGTGAATAAAAACTATTTTTCCACCCCCTACCTAATAGATTTTTTGGTTGAGTTGTTCTCGACATGGAACCAAAGTCTCCTTGACCAAGTGGTTTAGTACCCAAATATTGACTACCCTTTAATTCTGTTAAATAATTATTAAATGCCAGTACAAGTTATTAGTTGTTATGCGTTTTGTCCATGTTTTAAGGTCAACCGGCTTGCTCTTGAGGTGGCATGTTAGTGAATAAAAAACTATTCTTAAACCGTCACTTAACTGTTTAAACTTACAAGAAACACAGTTGATATATACATATCTATATTTATTTTTCATTTATACCCAGGATGATATTAATCTCACTCCTTGAACTTCAATTCATATTTCATCCCAATTCATTCAAGTTGTCATGAAATGTTAACTTTGAGCAAATGAGATGATGATAGACGCACTTACCTGGAAAAGAATTGACTGACTCTCCGAAGACGCCAGAGACGTAGCAAGGCAAGTAAACCGTATGATGGGAAAGAATGGGGCAATATAAGCCGAGCAATTTCAGCAGGGACGATGGAGATGACATCAAAAAGAAACCAGGTACGAAGGTATCTCCAAGCAATCCTTTTTGGTTCATCTACCAGTAGATACGAAGTTTTGTCAAGGTATGCTACAAAGAAGGTCAATACGATGTCGACAGCAAATAATGCGTTGACAACGTTGTTTGTTATTGAGAGAGGTTTGTCAGGTGTTGATAGGAACCCAAATTCAAATGGAGAAACCCAAGCTGTGTAGAACACTAGAAACACCAGAAATGTCTCCCAGCTCCTGCAAAATAAATGGTGGCCTCATCCATGATCGTACATCTAAACCCATCATCAAATTTAAACCCATGAAAGGTATCTTTGAAGACAAGAGTTTAAAGAGAATTGAGGCTCTTTTCAATGAATATCGACATGAAGAAATGTAAATGCAGTACCTGTAACGGGGATCAAAAGGAGAGAGAATGAAGCAACGAAGCTTGACCTTGCGGTTGCTACGAATAGGCCCAAGCGAAGGCAAGATGCTTACGCTGAGGCTATAATGACTGCCTTCCTTTGACAATGAGTCAAATCGATCATCTTCCTCCTCTTTCGTACATGACCCGCCTTCATCTTCTCCTCTCCCTCCACAAAACAACAATCTTTTCTTCCTGCACGGCATTGCTTCAACAAATATCCACTGCCCCTTCCCCCTCCCCTCCCCCCCCTTTTTTTGTTCCTAACCTCTCCTCCTAGGGTTTTATTTTCTGATTCTTTGGTCGCCTTTGATCTCCAAGTTCCCAGCAATGGTGGGTCTGAGACCACACGACAAAAACGGCTTGTTTCGCGCTGCTTAATATCTGTTTTGAATGCTACTAAAAGAAATAAAAGTCCAAAGTTCCAAGCTTTCTTTCACCATGAAAAAGGCTGGCCGATAAGTCCTCGGCCAATAATATCTATGCAAAGTTGCTCTGCTCCTAGCGGCTGCTTCTTTCACGGAGCCTTCCCTTTTTTTTTTTTTTCTCTCTCTCTGTATTTTGTACGGTTTACGACTCCTTGATTTCCGAAGTCCCTTTTGCCATTGCCATGCATTTGCTAGCTCTTGCCTGTTTGTTGTTGATCAATTAAAGCATGGCTTCTGAAAGGGAAAAAGGAAATTGGCAGAAGCTGCTTTAATTTCAAATATAGTAAAGAAATCATTAAAACATGGAGAAATTATTTCCAAGCGATTTTAAACTCCAAAAGCGAGTGATAAAGAAGGGTATATTTAAAAAATAAATAAATAAACATGTCTCGATTTTTTAAATTCATTTATGAAATTAAAAAATTATAATGATGATGTATTGAATATAATTTTTTAATTAGAAATAAAATTATGAAATAAGAGAGAATGACATGGAGAATATCTCAAACTCAGTAGATTTGGCATATTTATAGAAGTGACAATGCTGAGAAAATATACTTATATAATTAATGTGTTCTATCTTGACCAAACAAAAGTAATATATGTTCAATCAATTAAATCTATACGATTCATATGAATGATAAACAGCAATGACAATTTTGTTAGGAATAATAATTTAAATTTCATAAGTGATTTATTTAGAATTTATTAAATATTATTTCATGGATAATAAGATTTGTAAAAAAAAAAAATTTAAGAGAAAAATGATTCTTAAAAGGTACGTTTGAGTTGTATAAGAAAAATTTTTAAAGGAGAAGGATTTTTAATAAATAAGTTTGTATGGTTATAAATAAATGAAGTCTCTGTAAGGTTAGATATGAGAAAAAGATGTAAAAAAGTTGTAAGATTTTATAAAAATAAACACCCATGTTTAAATATTTGAGAGTAGAGTAGAAGAGATTGAGAGGATCTATATAAGTATGATAAATGAGTATATATGGGTATGTGTTTATTTGTGTTAAAAAAATGCATATGAGTTTGTGTTTATTTAGGTTGAGAATACTCCATACGACTAGAGAAAATTGAGAGAGCTTATGGGTATTGATTGTTGAGTGAGATTGATTTGATTTATATTTGTAACTCTCTACAACTAGTGGATCTTGTTTTTCATTTATGGAGATAAATCGATTGGACCAAACCATGACCAAAAAATCTAATCCAATCAAGTCAGCGGAAGTAGAATCAAACAATTAATCAAACAAACCATGACCAAAAAATCCAATCCAATCAAGTTAGAGGAAGTAGAATCAAACAATTAATCAAACACATAAGAGACAACAATTTAACGTGGTTCGATCTAACTGACCTACATCCACGGATGAAAAACAAGATCTACTAGTTGTAGAGAGTTACAAACATAAATCAAATCAATCTCACTCAACAATCAATACCCATAAGCTCTCTCAATTTTCTCTAGTCGTATGGAGTATTCTCAACCTAAATAAACACAAACTCATGTGCACTTTTTTAACACAAACAAATACATACCCATATGTACTCATTTATCATACTTATATAGATCTTATCAATCTTTTTTAGTCCACTCACAAAACATTCAAACATACACACCCATAAGACGTAAATCTTCAGTACTCCTATAAAGTGTCTATTTCACAAATTCTTAACTCTCTTATCTTTTTTTTCATACATAATCTTGTAGAGACTTCATCTATTTATAACCATACAAACTTGTCTATTAAGAATTTTTCTCCTCTTAAAATTCTGCTAGACATACTTGGCTCTACCTGTAATAGAAGTCTCACAATCTTGGCTCTACTTGGAATGAAAATCTCACAATCCTCTTCTCTTGTATCTTTTCATGTCTCGAACCATGTTCTAATACCATTTGTTTGAGAAATCAATACGCACAGCAGTACCTATACACAAAATAACAAGTTCAAATAAAAAATAAGAATACATAAATATATTTATTTCGACCCAACTCAAAATGGCTTACTCCAAACTTAATCCATTAATAAATAAATCTTTACAACTGTGAGACTTTTAGAATGAGAAAAATTTTTAAAAACTCCTTACTCAAAACATAACACAAAACCTAATTACACATTTTTAATAGCTTACTTATTTAGCTACTCTCTTGGTGTCTAACTATTTGGATTACCAAACCAAAAATAAAATATATTATTTATAAGGGTAAAACCCTTTATACTTTTATTAAACTCCTGATGTGGGATACAAAACAAACTCAAACTCACTTAACTTTCGATGTGAGATTATCATATTCAAGACAAATCCCAACAAATTTCTCATAATTTATTCTTTTTAATTTTTGTTGGTATAGAGATATAATTCTATGTTTTATTAAAATTAATATTTTAATAAGTTTAAAGTTACCTACTTTGATGTCATACTAATTTTCATGTACTATTCCTTGTTCTACTATTGAACAGTTTCTTTGATGAATCTCAATTATGAAGCAGCTACTTAAGTTATATATTAGCAAATTTTCATATTCCAAGTCCTAAGATTTTTGGCCACATTCCAAGTCTTGTGAGAAAAAACTTTTTTATTAATGTGATTGAGATTAACACATGTAAATATCATAATCCTATTATAAATATACTTCTAATGGAGCATATGTGCAATCCTATTAGAATTTTAACTTAACTCATATTGGCAGTTTGATAATGCCTACGTAGATGTATTAATAGCATTAATCCATTTGATCATCCGATCCATATTCCAACAATAATAGAGAAAGAAATAATAATCAAGTATAAATTAATACCTGTAAAAACTTCTTGAGACTTGGAGGGGCATCATCCATAAAGGCTTAGAATTATAAATCCAAATTAAAAAGTATAATAATATTTTCAACATGACAGGGCATGAGTATGGGACATATCACTTATAATTAGTATAACACAATTAATCAATTAATAATTCAATATTGTATAGAATATATAAAAAAAAATTACTTGAAACTCATATTTTTAAGTGATAAATGCATATATAATTTTTGTTGTAATTGATTAATTACAGGATTATAATAAAAAATTTATAGATGAATTATTTTCACATGGGCATGGCATGTGATCCAACAAAATTATGAAAGCATAAAATATTTCTTTTAAATGCTTTTGTCTCCGAGATATTCGAACAGAATAAAGTTTCCCACATAGGCCGTTGGACCGTTTCCTATTGCTCATGTTGTCAAAAGTAAATCAGGAATCATATCCTAAATGTTTCAGGTGCCCGTCATGATTTTATAAAGTGTTGTCAAACCAGTGAGTCAGTGGATGGGTAGGAAAATTGCCCCTAGATTTTACATAAGATATTTGCAACTTTACAAGGCGATGATGAGGATGGTTGTTGTCTCAATGATTCCACGTGAAGGCTGTCTCATTTTGCATCCTAGGATTCCTTCGGCTGCATGGTCGGCTGCCCATAAAAACAATTGGTAGGATGAGAATTTGTCCTCTCGACCAACCCTTAATCAAACCATTTCCTGGTCAGTGGTTAAAGTTCCAAGAGAGGGTGTAGGTGCTGATGTTTCCTCCGCGGCGAGTTGCAACAAATTTTTAGGATGATAAAAAATGAGTCGGGTCAAGAGCGAGTTTTAGTAGTTTCATCCAATTTCGGAGCGTATATATAAAAATAATATATTTTATTTTTACTTTTTTATTATAGATTATATGAACAAATTTAATATTTAATAATTACAAACATTAATTCAATAAAAAAATGTAACTAAAATGTAATTTTATAGAAAAATTAAATTATTTCATGCAATTTATGATAAATTAAATTTTAAAAATAAATTTCGACTTGAATCAAATTAGATACAAGCAATAAATATCATAGTTATTAAATTCAGACTAATCTAAAAGACAATCTGATTGACCTAACTCTGAATCGGAATCTGTTTAATATTTGAACTATTCATGCAATTGACTAAAGAAATCAAATTAACATATTGAATTTAAGAAAAATTTGTGATTGGCTAGATTTTTTTAATCTAGGTCAATCGAATAAGATTTTTTAAAAATAATTTTAAAATCATACTTAACTTATTTTTTCCATACTATTTACTTTTTTCATTTTTCACTAAAAAATTTTTCTTAAAAGAGGTTAAAAAAAAAAAAAGATAAAAAATACATTTTAAAAACTAAAAGATGAAAAAAAATATATTTGTAAGTTTAGCTTTCTTTGTAATCTTTAAATTATAAATTAATATTTTAATTTTTATATTATAATTTTTAGTTTACATAATTAAGAAAATTATTTATTAATCTATAATTTTATTTATACTATTTCAAAGTATATCTATTAATCCAATATCGATCTAAATGATGAAAAGATTGAACCATTTGACCCTAGACCTAAAGTCTTTAAAGGATCAATGTCGGATCCAATTTGATAACTATAATAATTACTTTTCTCGGGTCAATATTGGTATACAAAACCATAACTCAAGATAGGAATCAAATAGGTTGGGGCGGCGATTTTATAAAATAGAGCTGGTTTAGGGGAGGCAAAAAGCACCTCACCTCGTCCCGATCTTGAAACTAAAAATTTAATCCCATTAGATTTATAAAATTTAATTATACCCCTAACAAAATTAAAGGTTTTTCACTTAAGTTACTAGAAATTTCTTTGGAAAGTTTCTAGAAATTAAAAATAAAATAAAATAAAATTGAATCATTGAACTTTTTTTTTTTGTCAAGTAAACTGTTTTCCCATCAAGTATTGTTTGA